CTCTTGGGCATTAATAAATGAGTTGTTTCTTCTAGAGAGAGAATGTTTGAGGCTTGTTTTGTGCATGTAAGGACCTTTTGGGAAAGTATAATCCAGAACTAATAGGAAATTTATTTTTTTAATTGATGTGGCAACATTTTTAAATTATTAATCTTCCTGATGAGTTGCCTCAGTTTTATAATGAAAAATAGTTTAAGTAAATGCATCCTGCAGAAAAGTAGTTGTTCAGACTGTTCAGAAGATTTTGTATGATGTGATATTGCTAATATCTGATATTGTTCTACCAAGCTGTTAAGTAATTTAGACTGGGTAGATACTCAGCTGTGCATTTACTGTTCTGAAAGCAAAAAATTGTGTTCTTCAGACAACTCACAGTCCACTGAGAAACCCATAAGGTAACAATTCCTATTCCTACTGATAGCAGAAGTAGATTAGAAAAAAAAAAAGTCTCAAAATCACTTATTTCTGTCTTGCGGTCTGTTTGTATTTTTCATTGTGTTTGCTGCCACTGTGCTGAGATTTGAAGATTGAAAATTGCTTTTCTCACAATTCCTTTTGGCGTAGCCATATATTTAAGTGTAGCTATCACAAATGTATTCTAAGAGTAATGAACACTATGTTTTCCTTTGGTTAAATTCCTGACCCCAACAATTTTCTCTGCTCAGTACCTGACAGTGAGTATCTGCATTTTTCAGGTACCATATCTTCAGGAGGTGGCAGGTTCTTAGGAGACTGTACCCTGAAATGTGGCTATTTTAAGCATCTAAGTTCCATTTAACTAAACACCTTAGGAGATCACAACACTTAAATGTATGTTGCAAACATCAGTTTTAATTTCTGACCTTGCTGTTATGGACAACTGGAATGTTGAATGATAATGAAAAGGATAATTATATTCCAGCTGTAACAGTGTCTGTTCTTTTGGCAGGAGTTTGCGTGTGACTTATTTCCACTTTGGTGAAGGAAGAAGCCTTACCAGACAAAAATATTGCTGTTTAAATAGTTATAACATTCAACTATTTAACTTTAACATAATATTTAAATAAATATTCAGTATTTGAATAAATATTTCATTACTTAAATGGTGTTTTACAGTTCTTTAGACTTTCAGAATTGCTGTGTTGGTGCAACTCTCTCCCTTTCATGTCAAAGGCAACATACCCTAAGCACAAGTTTTGGTAGACTATTTTGAAAATCCCTTTATTAACGAATGTAAATGGCATCCATCATGTAATAATCTCATAGTTGCTTTATTTAGAATTTAAAAATTAGAGCAAAGCCCACTTCTCTAACAGAGCCCTTAGCTGCATATTTTTGTTAATTAAATATAAAATAAAATATTTTAAAACAACTTCTTCCCTGAATGAAGCAGTACTTTGCTATTGTTCCTAATTTTATACGGTCTAATAACAGATCTATAGTACTATCTGATATATACTTTTATACTTCTGTGTGTATGAAAACTCTCCCCACCCCCCCACTCAAGGGTGACAAATGCTGTGGTACTTTCTATTAGCACTCCTTTTGGCTTTTGATGCAATTGCTTAGTACTGAGAAAAGTACTGAGAAAGCAAGCCTACAGCTTCCAGGTTTTACCACAGCAGATGATAAAACAGGTCCTTTAGGAGGATTCAGTTTAGCAAGGCCAGTGTGATTAACACTCATCATCTGAAGAATGACATTGGCCACTAATGATGGGTTCAACACTGTGATTCATCTCTCTTCCCACCTCAGCAGCAGAGCAGCCTTCATGGTGGTGCCAGGGCATTAGTCAGCAGTAGCTCCAAGGGAGCAGTGGCATCTGCTGAAAGAACTGCTGGACTGCTTCCCATGCTACTGTCCTTCTGCCTGCTGATGGTCTGCCACGTACATGGCATACATCAACATATAAGTTTAGCTTCTGAGGGCAGGTGGTAATGTCTGCAAGGTATATTTTATTACACAAAGTAGAGCCAGAACCAGCTGCCAGCTGCTGCTTGGCCTAGATTTCTCATCCTGGATAGAGAATTTCAATATCCTTTTAACGGGCACACACGTTTGCACTAATCCAGAAAACCTGGATGTGTTTACCTGTTGGGTGAAAATAGTTTTATCATGGGTGATTTAGGTATTTCCTTGACACTCTTCTAATTGGTGAGAAATGCTGTGTGCTTTCCTTTCAGATGTCAAGGCTAAGCTAAAGAGCAGTCAAATAACTCCTGTTGGTATGGAGAAACTTTGAGTCAGGCCTCTGCTGATTTGCTTTGAAATTGTTAGAAATGTATTACTAAAATTTTAAATGTTAAGTTGTATGCTTTTTTTTTTTTTTTTTTGTATTCTCTGAAGACTTGGATTTAAGAAAACAGGTGTTATTGCCAACTGGGTCTGACTCACATTTTCTTGACTATAATTTTTATTATGCATGGAGTGATACCTGTCAGAAAATCTTCACTTGTTGTTGATATAATGGGAGAGATCCACAATGGAAGGAGAAATGCTTTACTTTTATTGTGAAAACATTGGAAAATATTCTTCAATAGACTAATCTTGATGCATGTTCATAGCAGAGCATGCCAAAGATGAGAAAAACCCACAGTCTTTTGCAGAGAAAAGATAAAAATCAGAGTTACAAATGTAAATGGGGTGAAAAAGTTTAACAGAACCAGGCAGGCTAAAGTTTATGAGGACAGCGAGTCTGCTGGAAAGCTGAGTTGTCTGGAAAATGGCAAATCTATTTACACAATAGCTCTTCTTCAGAACTAACATGTATATAGGACATTGGATCTGGAACACATTTAACTCTTCATGTAAAAAATTTTTTTTGTTCATATATAGGTAAGAGCATGCACTCTAATCGGAGCCTATAAAGCTTATGATGGAGGACTTACGGCTTGCTACATCATCTGTTTTTCTTGGAGTATTCTGAGAGCAATTGTACTGCAGGCTACTGCTCAGCCCTGGTTCACTTTGTCCATCTGTCCTTTGAAGTGTCTGAGTTGAGATGCCCATCATCTCTGCCTGCCCTGATGGCAGGGGATGCTGAAAGTAGTCTGGGCTGTCCTGAGTGATTATTGTGACAGAGCTGCAGCCAGACAAGGCATCAAGTGTCAGAGGTTACTTATATAGCAGGTAGAGATACCTTGGTAAAAATGCCTTGAACAAACCCTGTGAAGCATACAGCATCTTGGTCTTTACTTCCAGAAATATGAACTGTATTGCTCTAGAGCCTGCAAGTAAGGTGGTCTGGTCAGCGTAAACTTGGTCCTAGTTGTCATCTCAGTATTGATATGTTGGTATAAATAAGCTCTCTGTGCTATGCAGCAGTGAAGCAAGGATATGAAAATCCTGAGAGCCTTGGGGATCATTGACAAAGTCTAAATGTTGCCCATTTTGACTTTACAGTATTTTATACCTCTGTAATTTGTACATCAGACAGGAGAACTGCAAAATTGGCATGCCAATGTTATTGAGCTTAAACGTACAGTAACTATGCCATAGGAGGAACCAACACTCTGGAATTAAATAAACTTACAGATTTCAGTGACATTTTATGATGTATCCTTCCAATTACTTTGTATAAAGCATACATATTGTGAAATTTGAAAAGCTAGAGAGTTGAGTCTCACTGTAGTGATAGGACAAGGGGTAATGGGTTAAAACTTAAACAGGGGAAGTTTAGGTTGGACATAAGGAGGAAATTCTTTCCTGTTAGGGTGGTGAGGCACTGGAATAGGTTGCCCAGGGAGGCTGTGAATGCTCCATCCCTGGCAGTGTTGGGTTGGATGGTTGGATGAGGCCTTGGGTGATATGGTTTAGTGTGAGGTGTCCCTGCCCATGGCAGGGGGGTTGGAACATGATGATCTTAAGGTCCTTTCCAACCCTAACTATTCTATGATTCTATAAAATACCTATATATATATATATATATATATATATATGAAATGTTTAAGTGGTATTTGTCATTGCTGAAATACGTATCTCTGTGACTAATGGTTTTATTATATTTTCAGGCTTTATCACTAATAAGAGAAATGCTGAACTTTTAAAAAACTAACTTTTTTAGTATATGTATGATATAGGTGGTAACCTATGTGTATTTATGCTTGGTTTTGAGTAGCGTAAATGCATATAGATCCAATCTAATACTATGTATAAAAGAAACAAATTATATAAATTCTGAATTGCATGTCAAAAGCCTTTCTTTTTGGTGCAGTAAGTTTCTTTTGGTGCAATAGAATGCACTATTACCAGAAGGAGTAGGTGATATTAATTCCTAACAATTACATAATTTTCCAAGATTGTATGTCTTAACAAAGGAAGAGAAAATGTTTCTGGATGCGAGTCTGAATTTATGTTTCAGCTGCAGAAAATGTTAATAGTTTGATTTTTCTAAACTGTGAAGCTTGACTTTGGTTTGCAGAGTTTGAATCTTAACTCTCTGTGTAAACATTGCAGTAGAGGTTGCAGGTGAAGAAATGATAATGTGGTACTTGAAATAAAGTGGTTTGCTAACAGACCAGTGAACGTTGTCTATTTATGCAGGAATAGTGGTTAAACCTCTGCTATGAAGTTTACTCCATAGATTGATGAAATAGTTTCTCGCTTGGGAAGGCAATACGCCCATCAAATCTTTAGACTGGTCAGTGAAGGGAAGATTTAACTTTCTGTAGTTGAGAGTAGTGCTTTTGACATTGTCTCTGTGATCTAGTGACACAGTGTTAAATGGTATTAGGACCTAAATTCAATAATGTGGAAAATAGGATGGCATATAATCAAGCGAGGCAATTGCTTTGTACAGTAACGAAAACTGGAAATATTTCTTGTAATCTAACCATGGCTTGGCATGACCTTGCTCTGACACCATGACTCAATGACAGTCTTATCCTCAGGAGAAGTAGAGTTTTAAAGCCTATTATTAACTTCCTATGGGCCAAACAAAAAACTGGAGAAGAAATGGGGTCATTTGTGGTTGTTTATTTCTTTCTCTTTCTGACACTCCTCTTCCTCCTGATTTTTCCTAGTGCCTGGAGCCCTGCAAAGAGTCCTGGGACCTAAAGAAAAACCATTGCCAAAGCTTCTGTGATGTAAGTCAGCCCAAGGGCACTCTTTCTCACTTTGCTCTAGCTGTCTCTTTCATTTAAATTATTACTTTCAAGGAGACAACTAACAAACGTGATTTTCACAGCATTTGCCTACATTTGAATAGGTACACATATAACAATTTAGCTATATTGAGGTTAAAAAAAAAAAAAAGGATTTTTTCTTTTTTTTTGCCTTTTTTTTTTTCTGAACAAATGATTTATCTCAGCTTAAAGTTTTAAGACTTGATCCAACCACACTTACATAGCTTCTCTCAGAAGGTGCTGTTAAATACTTCCAGTAAATGCTATTTCTACCACATGCTGTTCTATCTTTTCTGGCCATAGAAAGAAAGAGTAAGAAAGAGCATCTTTGTTTAAAAGATAAAATGTCATTGTGTGAAAATCCTAGTGCAAGGTAGCTAGAACAGATGCTTTCCTGTATGTGAAAGTCAATCTGATTTCTAGAAAAGAAAAAATAAATGGTTTTACTGGATTTGAAACATGGCTCTGCTGAATTGGTGAAAGTCCACACTCAAAAGTTACATTTCTGGGGTGGTTTTAGGTACAAAATGGAAATACAATCTCAGTAGAATTTTGCTTTATTATGACTAAATCAATATAAAGATACAACTTTAATCAAGTCTATGAAAGTGTATGTTTACGAAGCTTATTCTATAAAAAAGTAGAAGGGACCTTAATCGAATAATGATCTAGCTGCTAATACTGATGTAACTCCTCCCTCACCACTCTCAGCACTATTTTTCCAGTACAAGAGCATATTTTATGTCTAAATGACTTTAAGTATCATGAAGATGTTTGGGAAAAAGCTGTAATTTCAACTAAAAAAACCCACCAATTTATGTGTAAATAGGGATTACTGATCTATGTATTTACAAGACAAAGTAAATTTTTTTCATGAAAACCAATCCTTGTATGAACTTTTTAGCACAAATTAATTGCTGCTTCCTCATACACAAAACTCTAGGGTAGTGTAATAAAGCATTTTTAGTGGATGTAATTTATGTCGATCTCATGCATCACTTCTCAGGCTGTATGTTTCCAGATTTGGGTGAAAATATGTATAAAATTGGTTTAAAAGGAAAACATTTGTAGAACACTGTTCTACAGTAGTTAAAAACAGTGACCATCCCTCCTTGATTAGTGTTTTGTGGTTGAAGCTAAATTTAGAACTTCAGAGGCCCTTAATGAAGAGCAGCACATTTAGCAGCTAACTGAAAAATGAGCTGTGAAATAGGGTGAGGAGGAGAAGCCTTGAGGACGTATTATGCCTCAGGGAGCTATAAAGATTTTAATTAAGTAGCTGCAAATTTGTGACGTTTTAGGATTTGAAATTGCTTTCACACACACCAAAGCACAGGGCCCCTTTCATTTCTCTCAGACTCATCTATGATCCATAGACATTGTTTGATTGAATTAAACAAGGCTGTTTTCCTTTGAGAGTGTTTTCAATCATTTTGTATTTTGCAAAAAATCTGGAAGCAGCAATTTAGCATTTGTTTCTCAAGGTCCATGCTTGATATGTTACTTCTTATCTACTGAATGAGTGCACTAATATTAAAGCAACCTTATGTGTGAGGAAGAAAGACAGTTTACTTAATTCCTTTTTTTCTCCCTATAAATTCACTTTCCTGCTGGTAGCTTCTTAACTGGCCAACCATGGGGTCAGGCGCATCCCAATGGCAGGAACAGCGTGAGCCCATGTGCAGAGATCACAGGGTCAGTAGGAGATATAAGGACTTCTCATTTTGGTATCCATATGGTTAAGCCATAACACCCAAATGCATCTTTAAAAGCCTGATTCAAAAATTCTGGACTGCTCTGTAGGACAAGATGGGAGAGGTAATGTAGTGGCATTGTTCTTGGACCAAACAGTCACTTTTGAGCATAAACTGACACACAATCTGTGAAACACCTGGGCCTCCATAATACTGAAGTCTTTCTCATTTTGCCAGAAATATGAGAACAATAAAAATAAGAAAGTAACACACTTGAAGATGGAAGGAAGTTGCAGAAGTTATATGAATAGTTGGATGAGGACTGGGTTATAATTTCTGTGTAGGTTTAGGAATCTGTAAATCAGATCTGTCAGAGTGGAAGGTTTTTGTTTACTCTGAGATAGAAAGGCAGGCTGTAGATAACCCCAGTTGCATGGGTTGCCCATCTACAGTTGCATGAATCACTTTGAGGGAATCATTTTAGCTGGCTTTGCACCAAACTAATTAAATCACCAGATAAAAGAGGATATGAAATCCCCATGTAGTACACAATGTTCTCACCAGGGTGATATATCCTTTCTCAATACAGTTTTAAGTGAACCTTGCAAATCACTGAGTAATACACATGCTATAAAATGTCTATGCACTGAAGCAACTGCTCATATATCTAGGACTTGATTTCTTTGAAAAGTAGCATTTGCTTTGATCCTTAATCAATATATTTAATGCTTATTTTAATCTGTATTTTCTGTTAATATTTTTATCAGAAATGTAGTTCCAGTTCCATGAAGAATTACACAATTACTAATATGCTGGCAAGGACATAAAGATGCTGCAAAATCTTCTCATAGCCAACTCAGTTCAAACAGTATAATGAAACAAGATTACACTTATTTATCTAGAGTGGTATTGCATCAGATACTGTGGGTAAAGTGTTATGAAGTACAAATGGAGGAATGTGGGTAGTCTGAAAAAAAAAAAAAAGAAGACCATCTGACCATTGCTTCCCTTTTGTTTTGGACATGTTTTTGATCTGGCATTGAGCAACTTTGTAGCCAGCCAGTGTGAGCAAAACAAGGGAAAGTTGGCAGACAAAACCAACTTTATTCCATTAAAGATGGTGGTCTTACTTGAGGGAATTCATCATTCTGTACTTGGAATGATTTTTTAGAAGTGGCTTGGATATGTAAATCTTCAGGGATAGTCTTGCAAAAGCTGAGAATCTGAATTTTTCTTTAGGAGGTCTTGGAAAAAGTACCACTTTTTTAATTAATTATTTGGGTTTGACCGGTTGAAAACTTTATGTGTTCTTTTGTTTTCCCTTTAGCCTCTTTTCCCCAAGAAGAATTATGAATGCCTAACTAGCTGTGAATTCCTTAAGTACATCCTGTCTGTAAAGCAAGGGGACTGCCCAGCACCTGAGAAGGCCAGTGGTTTTGCAGCTGCCTGTGTTGAAAGTTGTGAAGCTGACAGTGAATGTTCGGGAGTGAAGAAATGCTGTTCCAATGGATGTGGGCATACGTGCCAAGTTCCAAAAAATCTGTACAAAGGTAGAGATTATTAATATGTGTTCATATTGGACTAATAACTTCATTCCATAATAAAGTCTCCTCAGAAACCAGGTCTTTCATTTCAGATGAGTTTGTACGGTTGGGAAAAAAAGGAGAGGTGCCTGTAGAGATGTGGTGGGACACTGAAAGAGTTGAAAGCCAGAGAAAAATGTTGCTCAGCTTTCTGATTTATTTTTTTTTTTTTTTCCCTTGTGAAGCCCATGTCTGGAAATCTGTGGAATGTAAACATGTGGCTATTATGAATCATCTTAAGCAGAACAAACTTGCCAGTTTAGGTGAAGTCTCACTTAATTTGATGGAGATGAGAGAGAATGCAGCAGGAAAATATTTACCAATAAATCGTCCAAGTCCTATTAATCAAACAATATTTTTTTTTATAAGCCAAGCAGGTAGGACTACCAAATAGGATATGTGAGATGAGCTAGTAAAAGAACAAATTAATGTGGTATATTTGGCATTGGTGTTATTAATGACTTAAAAAAAAAAAAGTGAAAGATTATAATATCCCCATATGTATATAGATTTATTATTTAAATCTAAGGCAGTATTATTAAAAAAAATTTAATCTGAGTCCTGAGATTCTGTAAAAAAAAGTTTTCCTTGACATCCATGGGCAAGAACTTTTATATGAAGAAATTGTTTGCTTAGATAAACTCCAAATTTTAATTTCTTGTAATTATAAAAAGCTTTATACATGGAGATATTCTGAAAATGTGCTTCTAATGCAGAACAATTAACATTTATGAAAGGCATTTTCTTGTTCTGCAGAGTTGGAATATTTTGTTAGAAAAAAAAAAAACACCAAAACTGGATATTAATCAGTTATTCTTCAGATAGTATGGGCTCTCTGTGGAGAGCCTAATCAGCGGAACTCTGAACTAAGCTCCAGGCTCCAGGATTTATTTCTATGGATGGAAAAATAGTGAAATATGTGAAGGAGATGGTGATTTTAAGTTCATTATTTTAATTGAAGTGGTGATGCATGTTTTTGAATGTTCCTAGGGATGAGAATGTATGTCAGAAATGTGCTTTGATTTTTTGAATCCCTTCATTGTGTGTACAGAATGGGCTGTCATGAAACACTATCTTATTTACTTACATGAATAGAGAAAGTTTTATCTAGAAGTCATAGAGGTTGAGTAAGCATAAGTTTGATGAAGATAGTACTCAGGGTATTTTGAACAGCAGTCAGTACTGTGATCTAGATTTCCAGTGCAGAAGGGAAATTCTCTTGCTTCTAAGATACTTCAGAGCAGCCCCTTTACAACTGTAAGGAATTAACACTCTTGTACACAGCACCTTTCAAAATGAAAATTATTAAAATTGATTACTTAGTTATTTCTTTCATCTTCTTGAGACAAATGATCAGAGTGATAAACTGGCATTTGTATTGTACATGTAATGATTTACATGATCAGGCTTCATACCAAAACTGCAAAGCATTGTGGTAAATGTAATAACTGAAAAAAGGTAAAAACAACCAACCAACCAAATGAAATGAGACTGCATGCTTTTGCAGAGGACATAGGGTATGACAGCGTATGATATGTTGTGTAACTGCACACTGGAAAGTCTACTACTGTTCAGCCTGATTATATAGGAACAGAACTAATCTCTAACATCACCTGTCTGCAGGAGGTGCTTGCTTGTAAGAGCATACATATATGTCTTGCAAAGGAAGGGCAAGCCCAATACCTTGCTGCCTTCTCAGCTCTTCAACCTGTCTTTCTGCAACACAGGACAAATAGAAGCAGAGCAGGCTTGCTATTCATTTTTCCAGGGGTAAATGACCTTCGTGTCACTGAGGAAGAGCAAACTTGGAAAGCATGTCTAAGGTCTAATGAATAGGTTTAGTATTTACTCTTATAATTTTGACAACACTCACAGCTGGAAAATGAATACAGATTGAATCTAAGAGTCTACAGGAGTCCCTATAGTTTTACTGTTGATCAAGCTCATAGTAGTAACAGCAGCAGATTTGAAATACACATCTGGATTTACAAGCTGGATTTGCCCTCTAGTGCTGAGTGGTAAATTCCAATTCTGAAAGAATATTAATGTAAGTACACTGCCACCAAAGTCATATATTGCAAATGTGGTTAGGTTAACATAACAAGTTTGGTTACTTGTTACCTTAATTGTTTATTGGCTTTCATTCACTATAATTTTTAAACTGTCCATTGTCATTGTATTTTTTCATCTTTGTTGGGAGTATTCATAATCAGTTACATAGTTTTCACATTTTTATTTCCCTTTACTGGAGATATCAAATATTCTGTCCTACTTTTCCTCATCTTCCTTCTTTATATCACTTCAACTAGTGAAGGACTTTAGAAAGTGTCCCTTCTCCATGGCCTATCAGGTTTTTGTTTTCTATATGGACATAATGATGTTATAAACAACGAGTGCCTGAAGAAGATTTGGTACTTTAGAAATAGAAATGGGAGCAATATCTGTGATCAGAAATATAATAGTTAAAAAATGTAGGAAAAAAAAAGGGAATGAAGAGAAAAGGATGGAAAATGTGTGATTGCATTCACTTTGTCTAATGTGCACATATGCATTCCCCAAGTAAGGGGACAAGGACATTTATATTCTTCTGCACACAGCTGGTGACAGGTGAAAACATTACCCATCATCTTTTTTCTTTTCAGAAGTTAGTGGTCTCAGATGTGATGATACACCTACTTGTGTGAACTTTTCAGGACCTCTTTTTAACAGAGATTTAGGGTTTATGCTGTCTAAAGCAGGCTAACTAGTTTTGTATGAGATGTGTAAGGGAACAATCCATATAGCAGACTGAACTGCAGTTCTGGGCAAGGTAAATTGTGATGAGAAGATACGCCATTTAAAGGTTGTGACATTACGAACACATCACAATAGGGCAGCTAGAGCCAGATGGTCACCCATAGTTTAAAGGCTCTATTCATGCTTAAAGAAAAATAGTTTTGTATTAAAAAATAGTGTACAGTTTTAAAAGTGCACATCTCTGAGTCTTTGAATGACTGTGTTACAATGGTACAGATGCCAGGAATAAACCCTTTACAGTCCAAACCCCTTCCATGGAAACATGCATTCCTGTAGATTACATTAAAGATACAGATTCTTATGATGGGCCAATGTGCATTTATGTTTTCATGGCGTAGCAATGCACGTGCTGTTTGAAAGACACCTTTAGAAACATTTTTCTTAGGTTCTGGTATTGCACACGTACAGCAATGAGATTTGAATTCTTCAGTTAAGAGCTGTGGACTTCAGAGGACTAATTTGTTCCAGCATGATGAAAGGGCAGACCATTTACATAATAAAAAGCACATTGAAGAGTAATTTGGTCTACACATCTGGATAGTATATTGATGGTGCTGGCTATACAAAAGTATTTTAAAATGCACTTGTGCAGTGCTCTCGTTGTTTGTGCTGCTGCGCCCCATCTGCGCGCAATTACGTAGCACCAGAGAGGCTGATATACTTGCAATCAAGTGAATCCAACTGCCTCTAATGCAAAGCAGATGGAAGTTTTCTTTACATGCAAATTGTAGGATTATTGTACATCACAATTAAAGAAGGATTTTCAAATGTGGAAATCTGAGCTGACATGTTGTATGATTTTCATTATATTAGACTAAGACTGCAGGCTGTTGGAGAATATCCAGGCTTTAAACTGCTGTGATAACTGGATTTGAGTACTCAGGTTGATTTTAAGTTTGTTCAAGGGCGACAGGATCAATTTTTATTTACTTGTAGCTAATTGTATAATCAGATTTAGGAGAACACCTCTTAAAATACAAAAGTGATTTGTTCACCTAAGGAAATTTTGGTACTCAGTCATCTGTGGCAGACTGAGTGGGAAACAGTTTATCAAACCAACACATATAGCTGTACTTCTGTGGACACCCAGTGAAATGACAAAATAACTGAAGTGGGTCTGATAACTTGCTAAGAAGGTTTGTATGTCAGCATAGAAATCTTATTTGTGACATATTCTGAAGTGACAAAATGCTGTGCAGTGAAATATATGAGTTCCTAAATTCTTTCTAGAGAAAAGTATCCAACACTTGATTTTGTTGATTTAATCAAAAGATGCCAAATTTGAAGAGTTTTTTTCCTTCAAGCTACTGCGGATGTTTTTAAAAAGATGATGTTACCGGCATTATAAGCAATGGAACCATCCTTCAGTGTCCCTGTGTAAGGAGAACTTACTGTAAAATTTTAGAAACACACCTTTGTCTTCAAAAGGTAATAATTGGACATCATGCATAAGAGCTGTTTATTCCAAGATGCCTTGGAATTACCTTTCCTGTATATTTAGGGAAGAGTGGACAGTGACACATCATACAATACAGCTGTATATGAGTCAGTAAGATCTTGCTACCATGAAGAAGGCAAACAGCTTTCTTAAGTATATCATAAGATGTGTGAAACGGTAAGAGTTTGGGCGCAGCCTGTGTCCAGTTTTAGGCCTGACTCTGAAGGGCTGTGTGCCAATGGGAGAGATTCCAAAGAGAGCTGCAAGAATGATCAGAGGTCTAGAAACACTGATTTAAAAGAAAATGGAGTGCACTGAGGTTAGTAGACTGAAAAAGAAAACTTTTAGGGGCATGATAAGTCTTGTGGGTACATAAAAGGCTCCTCCATAGATGAAAGAAAGAACATGTTCTCTACAATCCATGAACATCATGGACAACTATCAAGTTTAAGTGCAGGAAACTAAACATGGTAGTGTGAAAGGTTTTTAATGGTAAGGATAGAAGTAGTGGAATAGATTACTATGTCATGCTGTGAAAATTCTGTCATTAAATGTGTTTAAGGACAAATTAGGTTAAAAACTGAACAAAAGGAATAGCTGATTCTGCTTGATAACAATGAGATCATTCTCCAGATTACCAAAGCATATTTGGAAAGTATTTTCTGTGAGATCAATTTTAGCTTATGACTTTCAGATCCTTTAGTTTTTAAATGAAATAAATAATTTTGAAGACCTCTGTAAAAATAAGTCTTACTGTTAGCAGAGATTGGTCAGCTGGGAGCCCTTCTGAAACTCCCATGCTGCCTTCCTCCCTTTTTTCCTTCTGTCTAACCAACAGTCTTCTTTTTTCCTTAGTTATTTTTTGTACGGCTTAATCTATATCTGGTTTAATCACATCTTTAAATTGTTCACATATTTTTGTCTGCATGTTCCTATTACAGGTGTTCCACTGAAACCTCGGAAAGAATTAAAATTCATAGAACTTCAGTCTGGAGACCTAGAGGTGAAGTGGTCTTCAAAATTCAATATTTCCATTGAGCCTGTGATCTATGTTGTGCAGAGGAGGTGGAATCAAGGAATCCATCCAAGTGAGGATGATGCTACCAACTGGCAAACTGTGGCACAGGTCAGTTGTTTATAAAGTGGTGTGGGTCGCTATCTTCCAGATCATGATCTAAAGGTCTTCTTCAGATTAGAGAAGAGTTAGATTACTTACAGGTAGGACGGCTTATGCAGAAGGATCCCTTTATAGAGTCTCTCTTCAGGTCACAACAGTGCTGCACACATAATCTAGACCTCCAGGGTCTTACTAAACTGCTGAATGAACCAGACTGGACTGGTTCATTTGTTTCTAGACTGACTCAATACTTCTGTTTTTTCACTTCCAGTTTTTCAGTTATAGAAACCTCAAATGCTTTTGGTATTAAAAATGACTTTATAAAAAATATGTGAATATATCGGTAGAGAAATAATTAATGGTTTCCTTGTCCCCAAAAGAAAAAAAAATGTTCAGAGGTTTAGGTTTTCAAAATTAGTTTATTTTGTAGGTTTGCTCACTATAGATAAAAATGTATAGAACTGTCTGGAGGCTTGATTTGCATAATGCCAGTGAGTAACACTTTCTTGTAATCACGTCCTTATGATCTATTCAGATGAGAATTCCAAAGTCTCTGAAAGTCATTAATCTCTTGAAAAATGTAGAATTCAATACCAAAATCTGTTGAAGGAAGCATATAAGAGAAATAGTCCTTCTGAGGTTCGTGACTCGGTACATAGTGTTGAAAGCATGGCTTGTGTCTTATAAAAAATATAAGAAATATAATTGGTGAAAAGACTATTTTTTAAAAAATCAACCAGAAAACAATAATAAAATCTTTATTCTCTGTAAAGTTGTTTTTTTTTTCAGATGTGACCCTCCAAGTTTGGAAAAGCCTATGATGTCATGGTCTTATCACTCAGTGCAATCCAGTCTGAAAATATAAGATTCATGAGCAAATGTTTCTTGATGAGAAGCAGCCAACAGAGCATAAATTTTCACTTAGTTCCTCCCCATTTTCAATCTGTTATTTAACATGCTGACAGTCCACCTGGATGGCAGGCTTCCAATCATTTATATTAACTGCTTCACCCTCATTCCTGCTGACAAGAAAAGTAAAATGCTGGTTTTGAAAAGACCTGGAAAACACCCTTATAGCTGGGAAAAAAAGGGAAAGAAACAATAAATGGATCTACCTACAAAACAGAGTTTAAATTCTCTGACAATCTGTGTTCATTCCCAGTTCAGACTGTGTAGGAAAAAGCTATCATAAAATAATGTCAAACTTGCAAAACTGAGCACTCAGAAGTGAAGTTCTTAGCTTAAGTGTGGTGCTACAAGGGTCTGTAGCATCTTGCTTAGAAAAAGTCACCTGCAGCAGAGCCTGTTATGAAACCCTGCTTGTGCAAGCCTAAGGGAATGTGCACATCTCCAAACCTGATAAAGTCTCCCAACTTATTTATTATCTCTCAGCTGAGGTGCAGGTCTCAAATCTGCGTTGTCCGTACTCAGCAAATAACCTCCTGTCTTTGCTATCAGGAAAATACCATGTAGCAAAAATGAGCCAGATCTGAATTAATCTTCACTCTTATCATGCCATGTGTATGTGCTAGACTGTTGAAGCCCAACTCTTTTGGCTGTTGGATCCAGACTGCAAAGGTCTGGAGGAAGAGCACTGCTGTAAAACAGGCCTCATGTACATTTCTGGAAGCGTGCACTATATGTGCTCCACTGCTCCAGTACAGACCTCTGCCTTGCATTGGATGTACAGAAGAGAATGTTTCAGAAACATTTTCCTGTGTAAGAGTGACAGTAACCCTGGCAGCTGCCTTTGCTGCAGGTCTGTTGTGTGGTGGCAGAAGTGGCTGACTTAATCACTCTGGCAGGAGAAGCTTCCTCTAGCTGACATCTTTCTGGCAACTTTGCTGTCCCTTCTGCATCACAAGAGATGAGGTTTTGATTGTGTGATGGACCCCAGTGGGGATGTCAGTTCAGAGCAAGTCTTCAGGATGCCTGACTGGCTTTGCAAACTTTGTACACCTTGGGGCTGGGCACCCTTGAGGCGTGCTAGTAATCAGAATTTCTGTCTCTTTAGAGTAATGTACCCCCATGGTGTTTGTAGTTTTAGACATCCCACCAGGCAGTCACATTCGTGTGCAAAGAATGCAACAGAATTTATTTTGCAATATCAAGCAAGAAAGATGGATATCCAATTTGACTGATTTGACTGTGTGCACAGCCTCTGGGCTTTTCTTGTCCAGAGAGAATTTTTCCTTGTATGATTCCTAAACATTGGGGTGTGAGACCTTAATTATAGGCAAAGGCTGTGAAGAGCTCAGCCATTTGGTATTGAAAAAATAATTTTGAACAAGTTTTTTTCCTTTGTATTTTATAATATCATCAGATTGTAAAGAGGAAGGCTCAATCTATTAATACATTATTTAAGTCTCCAAATCTATACAGCAACCAAACACATTCAAAACAATTTCAGTTATTTTTCCCTTCAGGAAGAAGGGATTTTAGATTTTTTACTACACATTTTTGGGAAAACTTGACATAATTAATTATTTGACTAATTTCCGTTGGTTAGCATAAAAACTGTGGAAATTAAGACACTACTTAGCTGTGATGTATAGTGTCCTAATTGGTTATGCAAGCTTCCTACACTGCTGTTTTTCAAGGTTTAACCGTCTGAGTAGGATCTACTGCTGTGTCCCATGAGAATATCTGCTGAAGGAGCTGGCAGAAGAGTTTGCTTTTATTTATTTATTTATTTGCATTATTTATCAGCAGTCCTGGTCTAGTGGGCAGGTACCCAAGCACTGAAGGTTGCCCAGTGTGATGCCTCTCTATAAAAAGGGCAAGCAGGAAGAACCTGGAAACTACAGGCCTGTTAGCCTGACCTCAGTGCCAGGGAAGGTCATGGAGCAGTTGATCCTAAGTGCTGCACGTGCTGCTCATAAAGCAGCTTCTGTGATAAGGTGTCCCACCTGGTTGATGAGGGAAAGGCTGTAGACATTGTCGGTTTGGACTTTAGTAAAGCATTTGACACTGTCTCCCGCAGCATTCTCTTGGAGAAATTGACTGCTCATGGCCTGGATAGGTGTGTTCTTCACTGGGCTGGAAACTGGCTGGATGGCAGAGCCCAAAGAGTGGTGGTAAATGGCAACATATCTGCTTGGCAATTGCTCCCATGCAAAGCTATGGTCTTGGGGAAGAGTGGCTGGAAAGGTGTTTATTGGAAAAGGACCTGGGGGTGCTGATTGCTGGCAGCCTGAACATGAGTCAGCTTCTGCCCAGGTGGCCAAAAAGACCAACAGCGTCCCGGGCTGTATCAGCAGTAATGTGGCCAGCAGGGTCAGGACAGTGATCATCCCCTGTACTCGGCTCTGGTTAGGATGCATCTTAAATACTGTGTTCAGTTCTGGGCTCCTCACTACAAGAGAGACATTGAGGACTCTCTTGTAGTGAGGGCAATGAAGCTGGTGAAGGGTCTGGAGGGTAAGTCTTGTGAGGAAGGGCTGAGGAAACTGAGGGTGTTTAGTCTGGAGCTGAGGAGGCTCAGGGAGGACCTTTTCACTCTCTACAACTACCTGAAGGGAGGTTGTAGTGAAGTGGAGTTCAGTCTCTTCTCCCAAGTAACAAGCAATAGGACAAGACAAAATGGCCTCAATCTGCACGAAAGGAGGTTTAGATTGGATATTAGGAAAAATTTCTTCACTGGAAGGGTGGTCAGGCATTGGAACAGCCTGCCCAGGAAAGTGGTGGAGTCACTATCCCTGGTAGTATTAAGAAACAGTGTAGATGAGGCCCTTAGTGACCTGGTTTAATGGTGGTCTTGGCAGTCCTGGGGTAATGGTTGGACTTCATGGTCTTAAAGGTCTTTTCCTACCTAGCTGATTCTGTAATTCTACTGTATATCTTATTAACAAACTTACAGTTCTGTTTGGTGCTAATGCTTTCCTAAAATAATAGTATTGCTGTTTACATTTGAAATGTAGATATATAATTGTATTAAGTTAATTAATGAAGTTAATTCAAATATGCCAGGTCAGTTATTTTCAGACAGAATATGTGTGTTGTGTGAATGGATGTCAAGAATGTGTGTGCATATATATGTATGTATACATAGGGGCAGACAATAATGAGTTTTACCCATTAATTTATTCCTTTATTAAAAAATAAAGAAACAAAACAAAACAATGCCTGTATTTACTGCTAGCTTGATTGTGACAGACTTTAATGCTTCTCTTTGGAATTGTCTAAGCTTTGTGGATAACTAATTTTTTTAAAAAAACTTAAAGTTTCTGAGACACCTAAAATTCTGGTTCTGAGCATCACAAAAAGTTTCTCAGTCCTCGGCAGTGAGAAATCCCTGCTGGAGTTAACCACCAGTCCTGTACACTAAAGGTTTCTTTCTCCATCTTCCAGGAAGGGCTTGCTTTGGTAAGCCTTCTTAGAGCATGCCCACCTTGTGTGGGATTGCACTCACATGAGATGGGAGGTCTGCTGTCCTTTGGTAGAGTAGTAGATGCAGCACTGTCAGTTTTCTTCTGTATCAGAGGAAACAAACTCAGCTGTTCTGGTACCCTGGATGGTACCCCTTTGATCTCTGAGCTTCAAATTCTTTTGTCGCTGTGTGTTGTTTCAAATGCAAGTGTAGAGCTAGTAACTTAGCAGGCTAAGGCTGTCCTCTCCTATTTTCATGAAACTGTATTTCAGAAAGGAGTCAGGATTATCAGTGTGAAGGTAAGGGAATGAACACAGTGAAAAAGTCCATTTAATACTGTAATCCTTGGATAGGGGAGAGTTCTCTGCACCACTCTTTGCTACAGAGACCTTGCACCAAATTTTACGTATATATATATATATATATATATATATATGAATGACAGAAAAAAAAATCCTTGGATTGGTGACACAAGATTCCCATCTGTCTGGCCTAACTCCTATGCTGCTGGATCATATGCTGGATAGTATATTCTCTTTCTTCTTCTACCCCATCCCTTTTCCTGAGGAGAAATTTTAACTTTCAGCCTTCCTTCCTCTGAGGAACAGTTTTGCCCATGAATGTAGAACATGGTCTAATTCAAAAAAGCATGCAACATGCTACAGAATATTTTCTCCCATCCTTTCAGACAAAGGGAGGGATTGAACATAGGTTATCCACATTCTGGGTGAGCACATTAATTATTCAGTTGTATGAGCAGCAGGTGGAGATTTTTGTAGGCATTTTGAAGAGAGTAGCAGATAATCCCCTTTTGAAAGACTGAGTGAGGGTTCTACTTACAGAGGACCTCAGGCTTGAGCAGGTAGGGGCTGCCGTTGAAGATGGGTAGAATTGTCAGTGCTTCCAAAATGGGGCAGCTCTGGGCAAATATTAGCCAAATTCTCACTGGAAAGCACAACCACTTTCTTCCTTCTGGTCACTGGAGGTGGCCTGTTGTCCTTGGATCTAAAATGCACTCCTGGGAAGAAGAGTGAAGCTGTTCCCCGTATTCTCCAGGTTATGTCATTGCAATTACATGCTGCTCTTATATAAGAGCAGCATGTATAATTGCATGCTGCTGTAATTATATACGTAAGAGCATGTATATAATTGCATCCTGATGTAATTAATGGGAACTTTCCCTTGTCTTCATTGAAGTTTGGATGGTGCTAAAGGTGGACATGTTGGCCAGTGATTTTTATCTGAGGACTCATTTGTTATTTTATTCCAAATGAAACACCTATTAAGATTGTAGCTTAGATTCAAAGCATTCCTTTTCTAATTAAATAGGTAATGCATAGCCAAAATAAATACTAATTATGATCCCGTAATGATAATTTTGGGGTTTATTTGTTATTCTTAAAAATATATATATATATATACTAGCAGTCTAAGAAATCAGTAAAATTATTTCTCTCATGTTTAGGCAGAATTTTAGGTGTGTGGTGAAATTCAAACATTATTTGTTTAACACCACTTCACGAACCATTTAGTATGGCCTTACATTTATATGAGACAAATAATGAAAGGACTGTGAATATTATGATCTCAGCTCAAAACATGCTTAAATAGTGAGAACTAATCTAAAGCAATTAAACTAAAAAGTTCAATTTACAATTAAGGTAATATAAGCTATCTCAGTAGTATTTAGCTCTATCTTGAAATTTATCAGATCTATGTAAAAGTTGCTTAGAGGTGCCAAAGTAGTGTATAATGCAGGAATTACAAATACACCTCTTGCATGCCATTGAGTTTAACAGGAGCTTTGCCAACAAAATGAATGATGAAAGTAATAGCCCCAAGGCATGTTCATAAATTAAAATAATTTTGGTTATACGTATTGACAGATTATTTGATTTTACAGTATTTCATGGTTGCCATGGAAAACTGACACAACTGAAATCCTTTCTTTTAATTAGTTCTAGCAGAATAGCTGAACTGATGCAAATGACAAACAAGATTCCTTAGCTGAGGAATTTGGGGTCAAGTCTATTCAGATTATACTTGCCTTGTAACTAAATTTAGCAAATATGTATTTAAAAACCCAGCTAGTTAATTAGAATTAGGTACTGGTCCTGATACTGATTTCAATTGCAATAGTCTGAATATATCCCTGATTTTTTTCTGTTGATATAGTGATAGTTCATATTACTCTAGTTCACTGTTGTGTCTTATCTATAAATTTTTGAAAATGTGTGCCTCAGTATGCTGGAAAAAACCTAGCACATTTGAGTGCTCCATAAAATGAAAATAGTAGAAAAAGTTGGTTCAGGTAGGCTTTTCCTTCCCTAGGGGAACCCCTTGACTGGAGGAGATAATTCACTCTACAGGTAACATAAAAGCTGAAAAAAAAGAAAAAAAGAGGCAGAGGATGAAAACGTCTGGACTGTTACCCATGCTGGCACTAAAAAGACAAATTCAGCAGTCTGAATGGAGGAGGACTCTGAGTAGCAGCAGTACGTAAGAGGTTCAAAGTCTGCCGCACTTACCAGTCTGAGAGCAATTAATAGTGCAGTTTAGAAAGGCTCTCTTTCCTTTACATGCCCATGCAAATGAGCTATCTGTTTCCCTAAATTTTGATTGTCACCAAATGAAGAAACTAAGCGTAGGATCACACCTACAAATTTTAATTTTTTAGGTCTCTAAAAATACCATTACTGGAGAGCTGAAGCAACTTCCTCAATTTCTGGCTATCTGAGTTAGGTGAGCAGCTGCTACTTTCTTATACAGATTGGAAAGGGAGCAAAAAGAAGAAATCATGCCATGCCTTTTCTGGGAGCTACTTGGCATCATTGCAAGTAACATTAAATCCTATATGGAGAAGGTGGGATTTTGAAGTTATAGACAACAGGGCTTGTAAAAATAAATTGGTGTCACTTCATTTTTAATGAGGTCACATATTTGGTCAGTAATGATCACCAGGAACCATTGTATAGTATATTTAGACATGTACAGGACATTTGGTTCAGGTTCATGTGTTATTTTGATTAAGGAATTAAATTAAAATGCGGTAAACATGACATCCTAAAGTAAATTGAGCACTAGACAGAGAGGTAATTGCAAAAGTAAAATCCACAACAAGTGGATGAGTTCTACAGGAATGCTATGTCTTCTGCACTTGGCAGTAATTCAGTGGTTACCAGGAGGCTGTATTCAGTTCTGGTGTTGTACTTTTGGATAAATAAGAAACGGTGCAGAAGACAGCTTTTTAAAAGTTGAAAAGGAAAAAAAAAGATAGAGGAAAGCAGGGCTCAGAAAAAGGGCACATAAAGCACCTCCTGCTGAAAGGGTTCTGAACGCATCTGTGCTTATGCCATATTTCAGCAGTTAAGGCACTCTCCACAGAAGCTGGAAATTGAACTCATGACACTAGCAGTCTCAGTGGGTGCTATTGGAGAAAAAGGTCATCTCCTATGACCTGAGAAAAGTCTGCAGGGAAGAGTTAAGTCTGTGAGTGTCTTTTTGAAATAAGTGCCAAAGATCTGAAGAAGGCTTCCATTCATTACCTGAGGGTTTTGTGTTTCCTATGAACCAGAAAAGGTGGCTACTCATGGATTTCACGATACTGTTTTGGACCCCCAGTTCTTTGAGAATTGGAGAAATCAGTTCTGTGACCTGGAGCAAGAGTTCCATGAAATGTCAACACCTGAAGAGCTAGGCCCTATACACTGGTGAAGGTTGTGATAACTGGAAAACCAATTTTGTGAATTTAACGCTTCACCAGTTTTCTAAAGGTTACTTTTTTCCAGAAGAGACCTCCAATGCACTGTAAAATGGGGTGGTTATATGATTTTTTCCACTGCTGTAAATGCTTTGTAGTGCAGAATGATGCTTGGAGTCAGGTGAGGTGGTTGCATATAGCCTGCTGACGCCGGTGCATCTTCAGTCTGACTAAGGTATTTCATGGGAGAGGACAGCACAACTAGCCATGTTAGAACAATGATGTAAGCTTGATTTTCCCCACCAGACTACAGACGAGCGCATTCGGCTGCCGGACACCCGAGCGAGCAGGTGGTACCAGTTTCGCGTGGCAGCTGTGAATGTGCATGGGACGAGAGGCTTCACGGCACCCAGCAAGCACTTCCGATCCTCAAAAGGTTAGTTTTGTCCTCTGTCTGGTGCTTGCCTTCTGCTCATTCACGTGGAGTGCAACCTGATCTGCCTACTTTTGTGGCAGAGGTTTTAACAGGTGGGTTTTCAGGTAGTTTTGCCACCAGCTTTAGAAATGGTTTGAGATTTTTCTGAAGTCAGCAAAGGAATTAAAGCTTAAAGGTGTCATTATTCTTTCGTCAGTAAGGGGTCTCAATGAATAAACTTTCTTTTAAACATTTTCTGCATGGTTGGTCTCAAAAAACGTGGCCCTGACCATGAAACATGAAGGAACTGGGGTTTCAGTGTGTTATTCTGAGAGGTTTCTCTTATTTTTCCTTTTACTTATGAGAAATATGTTGCTGCCATATGTTTAACAGAGTACTGAAATTTTTTGTTGCCTTTATCTAAATAATTGTAGCAGCGTTGTTTTGATGGAACTGTGGGCTCTCTTAATATAACATTCTCCTTGCTAGCGCTAACTGTAAGGGCTTAAGAATAAAGAGTATAAATGCTAAGTAGCATGTTTCTGTTCATTAGAAAGGCATGCTGGACAATCCACAAAGTATTATAGGATTTTTTGTTGCCATTTCTGGTTTTGCAAAGGTTTGGGTAATAAGATAACTTTGAAAATTATTTGTGTACCAGTAAATGGTAATTGAGGGATGGGGAAGATAGAAACAGATCTCTCATTATGTTAAGCTGCTAGCTTTATTCCTTGTGTGCCTGTGACCTGCAGAAACCAACATTTTCCTGGATGACTCTCAGGCTTAGTATTGGAGTTAGCAGAGGCCAGAAACTTTTCCCAGGGAACAGATGGTATGGATGTGGTCACCCTCTCTTAAAGGCAGTTAATAATGTGGGCATTGCCAGACCATGCTAGTTGACTTCAGTGCCGAAGAATGAGATTTAGCATTCTTTACTCAACTCATAGAAGTTTCTAATGGAAAGACTTGTCTTTGTTTTAGTAGTGACAGAATCTTTATACTTGTATAACACATACTTTGAGGAATGCATTTCCTCCTTGTTCTGCAGACAGGATTATCTTGCAATACAGGCAGTGGTCATCTATGGGTTCCCATGCTAGCTTTTCGTTTGCTGTTAGGACATAGTCCTAGGAAAAAATCTGACTGTAGATGCAGTTATAGAGGCATGCAAATGCTTTTGCTGGTATGGATTGTTTAATTACTTATGGAATAATTATACATTAGACTTAATGATTTTTTTTGGTGCTATAATCACATTTGTAGTAGGAAGTTTGGCTGGCATAGACATCCCATTGCTGCTTTGACCATGACTGCTTTTGAAGTATAACAGAAGTATTATTTTATGAATTTATTATACTTAAGTAGCATACCATTTCGGTCAAATAAAAAATAGAACTCCTTCAAGCTGTGTTGATCTTATTGCAAGCAGCAGCTTTTATTTGTGCTTTTCTTCATAAGCAGCACTTCAGCAGATACAGCACTTTGTTACTGAATCTAGCATCAACTTTCTTTTAGACTGAGATAATTGTGAGTTGTTTTATTGAGTTTGTAAAGATTTTCCAGATACTCTGCTTGGAACCACTATAATTGCAATTGCATAAAGGTATATATCATGATAACTCTGAGGTTTTGGCTTGAGCATGACATTTTCAGGCAGGATTTGTATTACTTCCCCAAAAATTCATCCCCTACTGATTGTGCTTGCCGCAGGAGTATATTGTTCAAAATACCTACACTGGTAATGAATGTCCATAGTAAGTCATAGGAAAACTCTCTTTAGCTCAATATCTGACCCCAGCCAAAAGTAGGTTTCTGGAGAGCAGTTGTAAGAGCAGGATAAGCACATAGGGATATGTCTTCAGAATAGTCTCCCAGCTGGCAGTGATTTGTGTTTCAGGAGCTTGTGGCTTTGAAATGACCGTGTGTTAGATACCAGAGTCCTCTTTTACTGTGGGCTCTGAAGCTACCCCTGAACCACTTGCTTTTTTTGAGTACTGCTCATAGCTTTCTTGTGGAGAGCACTTCTGGGCATTCATGCAAAGGACAGTAAGAGCCACTCCTACCTCTGCATGCTCTTTACCTGATAAACCAAAATAATGTGATCTTGATAATTGCAGAGAGTGCGTAGCCAGCGTTGTTCAAAAGGCTTCCGAAACTCAAAATAACAATTTTCAAATCTAAACTCCAGCTCTTGGCAGGGAATTGTGAATTGCCAGAAAAACAGCAAGGAGTTCAGCTAGCTGTCAACTTTGCAGCCAAAATCATCCTACTGTCGCAGCTCATTTGACTGTTTTAGAGTCTTTGGTATTGTCAGTACTTATTATAAAGATAATATGTTCACCAGATAAATGTGTAGATGTGCTAGGTGACTCACATGAAAATGCTGCTAGGTGGTGACTGTTGGGAATAATACTTTGATGCTTCAATTGGTATTTCTTAGCCTTCGTGTCCTGAAGCAGGTGCTCATAGTTATAACAGCTATAGTGTCAAATAGACATTTAATTACTACTTTGGAGCTCAGTGGGAAGTGGCAGCCCCCACCTGGCAGAGAGGCAAGAAACTGCTGCTTAGATGTGCCTAGTTTTTTTGAATGCCAGCCTCTACAGGCCCCTGCTGACCTCCTACAGGCACACTTAACCTCCAGTTTGGAAAGGGAAAGTGGACTTTGGCAGGTTACCTTTGGAAGGTTGCTGACTGCGCTACATTTGTATGAAGTGTGGACAGAAATTCACATCAGTTCTTGTACTGTTTCACTTCACCCTGTTGTGCCAAGACCAAGAGAAGATTATTATCTGTGTCAGACTTAACAGAAGTTTTCTTTAAAAAGAAATCCTTTGATCAGGAAACATGACAGCATTTCCTAAGAAGGTTTCTCATTCAAGATGCTGAACTTTTACCAGTTGCTCATAAGTTATAATGAATAGCAAATTATCTGGGTTTATTTTTTTCTTCAAAGTAGGACAAACATGATATATAATCTGAATCTAGGGAGGAGTATGGCACCACAATGTCTCTGTCCCTAAATATTTTAAGCAGTTAAAAGGAATATTCAAAACCACTGGTCCTGTAATTACTTGGAGAGAGACTTTTTGTCTGGTTACACAAAACTGGTTTATACTGTTTTATAGGTTTTAGTTTTTTTTTTTTCAAATGCACAAAATACAATTCCTGAGTAGACTCAGCAAAGAAAGGTTTTGGTATATTCAAATTAATATGAAATCTACTGAGGTATGTAATTTCCATTAACTTTTCTATCACTAAATAAAGCTTCTTATTAACCAAATTCATTTAATTTCCCAGTCATGAAATAGGTAAAACCAGAAAAGCAAGAGTATTTCATCAAGCATTTCAGCTTAGAATTCTGCATCTAGTTGTGTTTTGAGGTTTTATCTATTGCAACTTTTGATGCTTTTATACTATAAACTTTGGAGGTGAAGGTTTATGAACTGTTCTGCACTGCCTCGTGTTCGTGGCATTAATCTGTAAACGATAAGTGACATATCTGAGATAATTAATGAAGTAGAGCTTAAGCAGAGTTTTTTTTTAATGTTGTTTATTTCTTTTTAGTAAAGGAAATGAAGGATTTGTATGTCCTTGTCCGGCATGACCTTCACAGGAATGAAGTGATGCTTCATTTTGCCAAAATGCAATTTCAAAATTGCAAGAAACGCGCGTTAGACTAGGCCTATCTGTGGACCAGAGCTGCTAGAAGATGCAGTGAATACTGCATCTAGGAGAGTGGATTCTTTCCTAGAAGCAGGACTCTGCACGTAGATTTTCAGATTGATACTGTCAGCTAAAATTGATCAAAACTTTCAGCTATTTTGATAGTGGTTTGGAGTTCTATTGTAAAGGTTTTTAAATGGTGTGTGCTTTCTTTTTCATCTTCAACTGAATGGCAATACTTTGCAATAACAGCAATAAATAAAGATAATGGAATGCCTGGGAGAACTTTTTTGGTTCCTGAAGTTACACATATATTTCTTTTAACATTTTGTCTGGCACTGTGCAACTGTTTCATTTTCTCTGAAGCAGAAGAGAACTGTCCCTACAATCCACATTGTCCCCTTGGATGAAAAGCTACCTCTGCTTTTCTCCCATTAAGCAGGTACTGGATAGACTAACTAAACTGCTGAGAATCTGCTCAGCACTAGTAATACAAATTTTAATTTGTTGCAGGAATTTTTAGGCTACTTTTTTCTAGCTTCTTATGATTTATGATAAGAATGAACTCTTAGAGACTGCAGTTACCTAAAGTGATAAGTGTTAGGCATTTCCATATTATCTTGCTGGTCTGTAGTTAGGTATGGTACATTTCCCGAGACAGAATGAGGCTGTAAGATCAACACAGTGAGCCCCAACCATCTGATCCTTCTAAGTCTCCTAAAGGTTTTTATCTTCAACGTGAAGGCAGTTGCTAGCATACACAGGATAAATTGTCAAGCAAAAGGAAGCAGACAACATTGTTTTCACAGCACATAAGTACCATGTTGAATGTGATTTCATGCATACATTACTGAGTGTTAGAAAAACTAGAACAGACACCCACTCCCGGCAGTAAAATTCTTTCTGTCGCTCCTTTGGGACCCATGATTTTTTTATGCTGTTGCACAGCTGGTTTATGTGTGCCATTTCCATTGGGCAAAGCCAGTCTTCCTGCTTATGTCTTGTAACTGTTTAATGGTTGGAAACCATTACTGTCTGTAGAGCAGCTTCAGCAGATTTTTAGAGTTGGAAGGTCTAATGTTTAAAAGATAGCAATGTTAAATCCATTTTAAGTCAGGAAAAAAGTTCTTTAAAAAAGGCTTTAACTCAGAGTCAAACTTGCTATCATTTTTACAGCTCAGAATGAGAATTCTGGTTCCAATGTCATTCTTTCCTTCTCTGAAAATATTCCAAATCATGTGCTGTTTTCACCCCAGGTGCCACATTTAAAGCCAAAGTGGATGCATTGCAGTGGTGTACAGTGATGTGATTCTTGTACACAGCTTGCCTCTATACTGTTTTGTTAAGTTTGTAAAATTTCTTCCAGATCCTACTGATTGAAAAAAAATATGTAAAATATAAATTGTCTATCACTGTATTTACAAATACAAGTGTGGGAAGATGTGCATTTTGAAATTGTGATGATGTGAGCTTTTTCTTTTTTTTCTTTTATTTACAGCAAGGAATTCTCCCTTTTGAGGACTGGAGACAGAATTTTGCTTGTGATGGCTGAGTAGCCAGCAAGACAAGAATTTTAGCCCTTTGGGTATACTCAAGCCAGATACAATCCAGACAAATGCAGTACTTACTCCATGTGCTGGAACAGCAGCTTCAGCCTTGACCTAATGAAGCTATCATTTCTAGCAGTGAGAAGTGATTTACTTGTCAGGCTGCTGAGACCAGATTGATTTTTTTTTTTCATATTTAGGGACAGCTGTCTGTGCCAAATTCTGGTATACATAAAATGACTTATTTTATTTGAGTTGTAGTATAAACTGCAAAGGAAAAGCTGCAACTAGCAGCACTATTTCTGCAAACCAAAGAATTTAATTTAACACTCAGATAAATTTGTTTATATAAAATTTCAGAACTTCATGTTTGAAAAACTGGCAGTAGTTTCCGTTCCAGTAATTTAATGTTTATGTATCTGAATTATACATGTGAGCAGTCAGTCAAAGGGATCACAGATATATGAAGACTAACAGTAGGATGGCTGTTAGCTTTATAGTTAGCAGAATGCCAGTTCAGCTTCATAGTCAGGTTAAAAAACACCATATGTGTATAAGCTTTATCATCCAGTACCAGTTACTAGACCTTGAAGTATTTCAGCATGAGTTGTGTACTGCTTTTAGGCTGCATAGACATAAGCGTAGCACAGCATCTTGTAGAAGCATGACTTTTCCATTCAGTAATGGAGAAGAAAACAACAAATCTGTTACCTGGTAAATGGCAAGCATACATTGTGGAGAAGCATGCTTTTATACTTAGCAGTTTTTTTGGACTTGGATTTTTAGGGAGGGGTGTTTTTTGAGGGGGGCTTTGTAAAGGTCTGGGTTTGTTTTTGGGGGGGGGCGTGGGTTTTTTTTTGTATGTGGTCTTTTGTGGTGGTGTTTTTTGGGGGTTTTGTTTTGTTGGGTTTTTTGTTTTTTTTTTGAGGATGGGGTCTAGGTCATTTGGGTTTTTCTCCTGTTAATAACAGAGATCACAATATTTTGTCTTGTTGTTATTCCTTCTTACCTGTTTTGCTGGTGAAACTCAGTTCATTTCAAATTAAAGATTAATATTCCTGGGGGTTTGGCTCAAAAAAATTGATAGTTCTGTCAGTTGTAATAGTGATGAGGGTCACAGAAATATATACAAATAGGTGAATAAATTATATAGTGGTGTCCTGGGTTCAGCAGTAGCAGTCATTTTTTTCCTTCTTGGTAGCTGGTGCAGTGCAGTGTTTTGACTTTCAACTTGGGAACAGAGCTGATAGCGATGTTTTGGTTTGGCCAAGGACTTTGTGAGCCTCATGCTCTGCCAGGGAGGAGGGGAAGCTGGGAGGAAGCAGAGACAAGACACCTGACCCAAACTGACCAAAGAGGTATTCCATACCACAGCACGTCATGCCCAGGATGTAACTGGGAGTGCCCCGGAAGGGCTGGGAATCTGCAGGGTTGGAGGAGGCATTGGTCGGTGCTTGGTTGGGTTGAGGGGGCGAGTTATCAGTCGGCTGGCGGTGAGATGTTGTATTCTCTTCCCTTGTTATTTCCTTTATCATTGTTATTATTGGTGGTAGCAGTAGTGATTTGTGTTATACCTTAGTTACTAAATTGTTCTTATCTCAACCCGTGGGAGTTGCATTCTTTTTGATTCTTCTCTCTGTCCCTCCAGGAGCAGGGGGAGGGAAAGAAGGGGGGGAGTGAGTGAACGAGTTACCTGACTGGGTTTAAACCACGACAAGTGGTATTGAAATTACAGCTAAGGAATGGATCCTTAGCTGAATAAAATGCTCACTAAGTGGCTTTGTATTTCAGATAATACACTCCAAATCCAAGAAATAGTTAAGTGTTGTGTCTCTACAGTTTGGTTGTGGTGTCTTTCAGATGATTACATGCAAAACTGTAATAAATTAAGTTTTGTTCATCTTTGACATCTTACTTATTTCTAGATAATTTTTTTCTCCAGATTAGTCTACTAGCTTTAAAAAAGCTCTTTTAGAAAATGTGGCACTTTCAAATGTCTCACGTTTTCATTTCTGTCAGCTGCAGATCTCCTTCCTTTCTGTCTTCTACTCCTAGCACCACCATTTTTCCTCCTGTTCAAAGTCATTTTTGAGGATAACATTTGTGAGGCTTGCAAAAGAGAGACTTTGAAGAAAGAGGGCATTTAGGAAAATGTTTCTGCTATTGCTGTTTTATTTCACACCTATATTCCTTTTAAAAAGGTGTTCTTTCTTTTTTTAACTGCAATTACCCGATGCATTTTTAATACAACGTTTGCATTCTCCTTTAGCAAAGGAGGAACACTACTGTGTTTTCTTTTAAACATGGATCAGTGCTTTGTCTGCTGACTGGACTGTTTCTAGCAAACACAGGTGAAGTGCTATTGATAAAGAAATGTTTGCTATAAACTGAGCAATTATAAAGAGTACAGGGTGAAATTCTTGTGCTCTAGAAGGCAGAAGGAATGATCTATTGGTTTCTTTATGCATGTAGTTCTTCCTTACAGATTTCTCTTTCTTCTTATGTCACTGGGAGAAACAGGGGTGTTTGAAGTTACCTTAAAAGAAAGAAACAAACAAACAAACAAATTCCTGTGATTCTGAGACACATAAAAGCTCCGTTCTGGTCAATTGTTAACTTTTTACAAGGAAAATTTACACACTGTCTTGTTTTCTTAAGGGGACAGAAACATTTGAAAAGGCAGAACATTAATTTTGTCATTTGCTGCCAGACCTATGAAAAACAGGTGAATAGATTTTCATAATATTTTAAATAATTTTGTCCGGAAGAGCTATTTCATTCAACTTTGAGATTTATGTTTTTTTTTTAATGACTCACAGTCTTTCATAGATACAGAATGAAGACAAATATATTTTATGTTTAAATATTTTTTTCTTACATCTGACCATTTGTGAAGACATATTCTCTGAAACACTTTAATTCTATCCCATATGTTATCTATAAATAATACATGATGCATAGTACTTCTGGGACATAACCTGAATAATTCACCTACAGTAATATGATCATGTTGTACTCCAGGTTATAAATCTTTTATTGCTGTAATACATTGTCATATAACATAAAAAACACCTATCATTTTAAATTAATGAAGATGAATACTTATAAATGTTTTGGATTTGTGAATCATTATTTTGCTCATATTTATTATACCTAAATTTCATTTTATATCTACTTATCAACCAGTAGAAGTAAATGAAAATTGTGTTAGAGAACAGTATAAACCATTTAACCAAACTAATTCTTAAATTTACCCCTTCCAATATAAATAGCTTTTATACTTATAGAAAAGGCTCCCATAAAGGGATCTGGCTTGCAAGCTGCTATAAAAGAAAAAAAAAAACAACCCCCCAAAAAAACACAATTCTCATTATTTTGAAAATTAATTTAAATTTCCAGAATTTTTGAACTCGAATATGCTTTGTGACTTCTATGGCCGAAAGTTAGGTTGCATTATATATGTGAGGAAACAGCGGCATCCATTACTGTTTAACTAAAATGGCATCTGTGAGGAAACAGGAGCATAGCATCCATTGTTATTTAACCAAGTGTCTTGTTAAATAACAGGAATTTGCAATTATTTCACATTTGCTGGTCTTTAAAAGGGAAATGCTGTCTTTATTAATTCTGAATGTGTCTGTTTGCATGAACTAAATGGTGGAATTTTTCAGTGAGGCAGTTTGTGACAGGGATTATCTGATGAATATAGTATGCCTGGAAAGTGTATTTAGCAGCGCCTTTACCATTATAAAAAGGTGCAGGTGAACCATGAAGTAAATTAATGCCTGGTGTCCCCTCTGCAGATCTCCAGTTTTATTTCTGGCAAATAAGTGGTGGCTCATTTTGCTAAAAAGTTATATGAAAACGGGTTTTTTTTTGATCATATTTTTTTTTTCTTGGCTACAGCTTCATAACACAGCTTAATTATTATGACTGTCCTTTTTTTTTTTTTTTTTATTAATTTTGTTTTGGCAGTTGGGTTATATTTTGTCACCAATGTTTGACTTGTATGAAAGCATAATATATTATTACATCTTAATTAATATTTATTCTAAGAAAGTGTTTATGTCCCACAGATATCAATACTAGAATTTTGAAGAAAGGCTCAACAAGTAGAAATTTATTTTTTTCATCTTAGAATTGTCAGGCAACACCAAAAAATATTCAGTGTTTCCACCACGCAATTCTGTGATAACTGTACAAAGCCACTTTCAGGAGAGGAGTGTTTAACACTCACTATGTATTTAAAGTAGTGTATCACTGAAGTAAAACTGATAGCCTAGTTAGTACATTTTGGTAAAGCTTTATAATGTTTGTGAACTACCAACTATACAGACTAATGACAAAACCAGATGCTAACCCATAATTTTTATTTCAGTAAAGTTTGAATTTCTAGAATTTATAAGAAGCCATATCACTTATTGGAAATTTTTGCTTCAGCTTTCTTCAGTGTATTGAGAATGTTTAATTCAGCTCATGTATGCCTGGTAAATGCGTAAAATGAAGACGATCTTTACCTTACTGAAGATGATCTTTACTTTAGAATATTTTTGTTTGCTTTAAATTCTAGATCCCTCTGCTCCACCAGCTCCATCTAATATCAGAATTGCCAATATCAGTGCAAACAATGATGGGAGTGTAAATGTAATGATTACTTGGGTTCTTCCAGAAGAGCCTGATATCCCAGTGCACCACTACAAAGTCTTCTGGAGCTGGACATACAGCAAATATGTAATCCCAGCCAAAAAAAAGAGAAGGAAGATTACTGATGGGGTAAGAAAGAAAATAGTAAATGAGACAGAAGTATGGCTTTTTTCTGTCACAAAATAGAGTGTAAGTATAAAATATGTGAGAAATTGCAATGATTTCAGCAACTGGTAAACTAGTGGTCTTAATTTTAATATCACCAACCCCATACACAGTTTTGATCTCCCAGGCCCTATCTTTCGCTGAACTCGGGGAGAGAAGTAGACTTCCGCCTTAAAATGCAGGTAACTGCTATCAGATTTTGCAGGAAAGAATAGAAAGCCAAATGCTATTTGTCCTCTAAATTCAGGCTTATTTTTTAGTGTTTCTTAAAGATACAGTGCTTTGTTTTATTTGAAAAGCTAACATTGTCTGTCACATTGTCTTTTCACTATGCATGCAAAACTTGTGACACTGTGATACAGAGTAACCATTAAATAGTCAGTATAGGTCCAAGGAAAAAAAAAAAACCAACAACTGAAAACTCTTCAAATAAGCCTCTGTACCACAGATCTGACATATTTCCTTAGCAGCCAGCTCCTATGAGTTTTTTGAATGATGTATAAAATACTGCTTTACTGGAAAATTATTTGTTGCGATATCCCTAAGCATATTGCATATTGTTTTAAAGTAATTAATAGAAATAGAAATAATTTACAGATTACAGGCCTAAACTTAATTCTCAATGTTTTTAATAAGTGTATTATGGGTCCCAGGTCTATGTTAGATCCGTGTTTCGGCTATGGCTGTCCACCTTCAATGTGATGAATGACAGCTGAAAAGTTGTAGTTCCCTCTGTCCCTCAGTCACCAAACCCTCAGAGAAATGAAGGTAATGAAGGCTGTGTGCTGAACTTGTGCAAGTAAATACAGAACAGAAAGTTAGTTCTTTGTTGTACTCTTTGGCAAGACAGGAGTAGGTTTGGCCTGTGCTATGTAGAAAAGTTTGTGTTTCTCTGAAAAGCTGAGATTGGCTGGAGATCTTCATGACAGAGGCTACGGCCTAAAGGTACAGGGGAGCTTTTTCTCCACAAGCTGGTCCTTAAACAACAAAACCCAAAGAATTTTAAGATTGAGCTGGGTCCTTAATTTTGTGTTGGCATTTTGCATAGGGTACATCCTACCTATAAATATGTTACAATAGATCCAATACACAACATTACAGTAATTGGAACCAAGTTCTGACCTTGACTATAGGGAAATGTAGAAGATCCAGGACATATTATAGAGAAAAGGTAGGCTCTTAGAATATATTTCGTATTACTCCTGTCTCACTGTAATTGTTTTTCTGGAGCATGAAGTTGAATGGTTGCAATAAATAGAATATGTTGAAAAATGTAGTGAATGTTGGATTTTAGCTGTCTGCAAACTGGCTGTCTAGAAAAAATTTCCAATTTGTTTGCTAAAACAGAAACTGGGAAATAAACAATGTAAAGTTCTTTGGCTAAAATAGTTTTAGCAGAAGAAAATGTTATGTAGAAAAACACCCTTTATTTTTTTCCTATACAATAGGCGTCTGTATTTGCCAAGGAATTACCAAAATTATGTAAACATCAGGAAGGGTAGTATTTTAAAAATTATGCAGAAAATCAGAGCCTAATAAAATACATTTTAAAGCAAGGAAATTTTGCTCTGTTGAAACACATACTTGAGTTTATTTTCTAATTTCAAAAAAGTAGTGTGCCTAACATAACAGGCCTGCTTTTATTAACTGCCTGTTTCAGTAATACTATAACTGCTTTGTATTTTTATTCTGTTATAGGCCCAAAATTATGTGGTCCTGGAAGGACTTCAACCCAACAGCAACTACAATGTAGAGCTGCAAGCAGTAACACGCTGGGGCCAGATACGCCTAAAAAGCGCTAAGGTTTCTCTCCATTTTAGTACAACTCAGGACACCAGGAATAATAGTGAGTAATTGTATTCAAACACTTGAATGCTTTAGCTACTCTGTATCTGGAATTTGAATGTTTTATATAATGATTTCTCAAATTAAAAAAAAAAATACTTTTTTTTTTTTTTTTTTTTACCATCCTTCCTTCTCGTGTTTTGTTTTCTCTTCTGATTAGAAGTTTCTGTGAAGTTCCTGGATCTCAGTGCTAAACTTCAGGGTGTTTAGTTTTCAGTCCAATCATCTTGAATGTCATTTCATCATATCACATCACAGCTCTGAGAAAGAACATGCAACTGAGTTGAGTTTACATCCAATCACAGAAGAAGGCTGGTGCCTGGATTTCACCTGGGTCTGAGGCTGGGCTGTGTCCTGGTGTCTTGGAGGAAATCCTGGGTGCCATTATACACGCCTAGCCAAAGTGACATTGGGCAAGCTATTGAACTTCTTCTCTCTCATTTTACTTTGAGAATAGTTTCACAAACTTTCCCCTCTTGGCAGCAGGGATAATTAATCAACTGATGTTTGTCAGGCTTTATTGATAGTCCTGACATTAGGTTTCATCTTCATAGTATTTAAACATGACAGTAATAAAGACTTTCCATATAACAAAAACCCTCTAAACTGAAGGTAACTGATACTGGACTGTGTCATTTTTCTATACCATTCTGCACTTACTGTGAGAAACCCTTTTGCTGGTAGTATCAGCTCTCTCCATGGCCTCACTAATGTTCTGTCTGTCGCAGTCTGTATCACCAGTGGGTTTGTGTTGGGAGAGGAAGATTTTTGTTTCACTTTTCCCTCTGCACAAGTTTGTATCCCCTACCAAATGGAGTTCATTTAGCATGTATGTCATACGTGCCTTTGGTGGTTTCATCATCTTGTGTCTACTCCAGCGGCACCTATTTCCTGTCATTGTCACAGCTAGATTTAAATTCCTTCCACAATTTTGCTTGAATAATTTGCCCTCTCATTGGTTTTTTTACTTCAGAAAACAGTCCATCAGCAGTTTCTGTGAAAGTCTGCTATCTCATAATGTCCAAATTGAGTTCATTTACCCTGTACCTCATATGTGCCTTTGGTGATTTCTTCATTATAGACTTTCCAATGCCTTGTGCTTTATTTCGTTTTGCTGTGGTGACCTCCTTGGACCAAAAGGTTTATTAATTGTTGTATTGTTTTTTAAACCAAACTAATACTATACTAAGAGTAATATTTTTATTTTCTCATATACTCAAAGTATTTGACTGTAATGTTCAAGTTATGAACATACATTTAGCTAATGAGCAGTATTTTCTTAGTGCCTGAGCGCTAATATCACATATTTTAGTGGATAGAGCACTCTTTTGAGAAGTGTATTTAGACCTCTTTGGACAATTTTTTTAAAATGGCTAAATTATAGCTTACATAGAAAAACAAAAACCCTACTCCTGTAGGAGATGCAAATTCATCTTCTGAATCTCACTGAAGTTAGTTAGGAACAGAGCCAGTTCTGCTTGAGGTACTTTTGAGAGTGCTCAGAAGCAGATGGAGAAATGTGAAAAAGAAAAAGGAAAATGTTGCCTGAATATTATCTAGGACATGACATTCAAGGCCTGTCTTTATATGGGGACTTCTGTGGCCTTTGGGAAGTAGCTCCAGAAGCAACATGCCAATTTTGTTGAAGTCCCTCTGTCAGTTTTCTGCTCTCTGTGGAATTAAGCTCTGTTTTTTTTCGGTGTCTTTTCCTATTGTCAGAATAAAAAATAATCCGTAACCCACTGAAGTAATTTAGTCCTGCAGACCTCTGTGAGCTTTGACCCTGGCCCTCTGGCATTACATTTCCCCACACTCAGAAATGCATCGCCTCACTATATTTGTAAGCTTTGCTTCTGGGAAATGTAGCAAGACTAACTCTCTTGGTCTTTATATAGACATATTCTAAATCTGTGTCCTCGTTTTTCTGGAAGTGAAACAGAGAGAGAACATAAAAGCAGATACTTAGTAAAATTAAAATCCTTTCAATTGAGGTATACCAAGTAAATTTAAGTCTACTTCTCTCTATCACTTTTTTTTATTTCCTTTCAGGTAGTATAAACATTATGGTTACCTTGAAAAATAATTTAATCGTTTTCTTAAGTTTGGTAGTTTTGCTTTAATTTAAAGCAAGGGAAGAAAATGTAAAATTCTATCAGATTAAGAAAAGGATTAAGAAAGTAAGATATGGCCAAAAAGCAAGTGGGTTTCAGCTGAAGCTATATATAGGGCAAAATATTCAAGTTTACATGTTACTCATGATAATTATTGAAACTTGAATCTTACTGTCTCTCAAGTATGTAATTAATAATTTTCCACTTCTTTATTATTGAAATCTTTATTTTTCATTTATGTGTAATAATAAATTAAATACAGCTTTTTTAAATCTGATGCAAATACTGTTCTCTGATTTGGAATGGATGTATTCACATGTGTGCAATGAAAATGCAGTTTGAATGAGCATTGATGCCTTTTCAGCTGGAAAGATCTATAAATATTATCAACTCTGCTAAATGTTGATAAACTGTTGCTAAATGAAATTCTTGATGAAGGACATCCCATTACCATTGGCTGTTGGAAGCTAGATACATAACACCAAGGGGATTGCTCAAAGTTAATTTTGCTCTTACAGTGTTTTCCTAAGCATTCAGTGTTCACTGTTGGAAACAGGAAAGTGGGCAAGAAAGATCTTTAATCTGACCACAGTGTTCCTACATAGCATACCAAAGGACTGTGTTTACTTTGATGTAATAACCACATGTGGCACTCTGTGGGTTACACTCAATGCCGTCCTTGGTTTTGTGTATATTCAAACATTGCACAAATATAAAGGCCGTGAATGATTATACAGATACTACGCCTGACTCTTTAAGTCAGTGTGTTAACATTTCTAGTTCTCGGGGATATAAATGCACTCCCTTTCCTTATGATTCCTTTGAAAATTTACAGAGCATTTTCATACTGAATTATATTTCTCTTTTTCTCTCTCTGTCTAAAATATTTTCTGACTGAATTTCAAACAAATAATATGTTTTTCAACCATTATGGACAACTTGTTATTTATGTTAATTTCATTTGGGTAAGATACTGAAATAAGATAATTTGGATTAAAGATAGTATAATTTTTGAATTGTAGCACTGTTAACATAGTCATTATACAGCACATAAATAATTTCCTGATTGTTTTGTGTGTTGCAGAGGAACGAACATCTTCTGCTGGGAAACCCCAGAAAGGACTGGTAGATCATTACCCAACCTTTCAAAGAAGAAAACCCACTCGTTTTCTTAAAATTGGAAGTCCTTTCTATCAGGACAATCAACTTCAGGTCAAAGTATACTGGAAGAAGACAGGTTTGTCAAATTTTTGTTTTACTGTTTTTTTCTGAGGAGCTTTCATCAACAGCATCAGAGTTGTAGAACATTGCCATAATGTGATGAACCTCATACAATAATTCAAAGTTAAATCCTACACCGATACTTCCATCCTTTCACCTTCATGTTTGAATGAAACATTGGTCTCACTTTGTGTTGTCTGTGTAAATGTCTCGCAGAAGGAAATTACATGAATTAGCTACCCTAAAATTACAGTCAGTCATGTTGGGACACTGAATCTTGCCACAGCTGAGATAATTTTTATTTCAGTAGAAATTGCTTCAGTAAAATTTTAAATATGAAGCCAAACTTGGTCTAATGTTCCGAGGAGCTTTTGTGGCTATGAGTATTGTCTCCCTGAAAGTGTGGTTGGAGGGTCTCAGGCATGTACAGTTCTCGGGCAAAATTTCATCTAATGACACTGCAGTATCACTTGAGTCATTAAACTGCAGTTCAAACCACAAAATTTAAAGCTATAGTTTCTTATATTAGGGCCATGATAGGCTTTATGCTAAACTTTATCAGTCATCTTGAATTACAGAAGGATGAATAATTGGCCACAACCACTGGAAAAATCTGTAGGTTGTTTTTTTGCTAGGCTGCATTCACCCTCTCGTTTTTCAGGAAAATCTAACAACAATTTTATGTTTAAATTTTCCAGTCTAAAGGAAAATGCCATAAACTTTAAGTGTCTAATCAGAATAAGAAATTAAAAAAGGAATTTTCCTTTCGTGCCTTTTAGGAGCATATAGGTTGTTACACATTGCTCCAGCTTAGCCACGACGGATTCATACCATGTTATCTGAAAATGTGCTGACACTGTTATGTTTTAACTTGGAGCAATCTGCATGTGCAGCAGTAGCACATGTATAAAATCCACTCAATTTTTGACTTTGAATTAAAGGCCTATAAGATGCATAATCATAGAATCATAAAATTCTTATTCTTCCATAAAATCTGCAAGCTTCAGCTCAGCCTGACTACTTACACATTTTAAATGTTTGTCCCCATCTTGGCTATGTTAGTTTTCATTTTTTCTAGCTTTCCTCACTATATCTCATATTTGCCTAACTTCATGAAAAGCTGGAATAATTTAAAATTTAAATAAAAGTTGAGGGATTTTTAATTATGAATGCTAAGCTTACTTAAAAAATACAGTTTTGATTATCCAAAGTGAGATTTACGTATTCTGAGCTTTGAACTGATCACCTTAAGCTTTAGCTTTCTGCAAGTGAGATACAACTCATTGTCCAAGCTCCTTTTATATCAGAAAAGAAAAACAGGTGACTTCTGAGGCAATTCATCTCATTCAGCAGCAGAATCATTCCCTGGAGATGCCTCTCTTCCTTACTGAGTGCAGAAGGGAGCCTAGACAACTCATTTGTAGAAGGCTTAGAGAAACCTAACATCTCTCTGTGAGCTCAGGTTCAATTCTCAGCAGACTGAACTTAAAAAATTAGGAGAAGGATTCAAAGATAAGGAGACTGTGATGACTCCCACTGGCATAAGTTTGTACAACTCACGCTCTGCAAGCAAAATTCAGCCCAGTACAACAATTGATCCAGCTGCAGCTGTTTCCCTTTCAGCCTGTTTGCATAAGAAACACTGTGAGTCCTAAGACCAAAATGCCAGCACCCCTAGTGAAATGTGCCATATTAATAGTTTTCCAAAATTAATGGAGAAAAGAATCACAACCAGTACAGCAATATTCCTGTTCCAAAGAAGATTCCTTGAGCTAGCTGTCAACCAATTATAATGATAACTTAGATATTGAGCTTATAAGTAGACATTGTGTCGTAGATACCTAAATATTGACATATAAATCTGGAGCTGAATACTACCCTGTGTTACGTACCTGGAGGTAATATTTGTTTTAAAGACTATAGATGCCTATAAAAAGAAATAAAGTAATCAGCATTCTCATAGTGGCTCATAGTCTGGAAATAGAAGTGTTTGGAAGTGGTGTAATCTCCACAATTGGAGATCTTCAAAGACAGATACGGCACAGACCTGTTAGAAATTACGTGGATTTACATGCTGTCACCTTGTGTGAGGGATGGATTAGTTTTGTTCTTGAGTAACTGACTGTACAGCTGACTCATCTTTTGTGAATCTCTATACATCCAGCTATATAAGGGAGACACCCAGAGGTCCATCTTCATCATGTGCTGTGAGCAAGCTCTGTCACATGCACTGTGGTATTTAGGTATATGCGCCAGACACACAGTAGAAGACACCTTCATTTTTTCTCACAAAATGAACAGTGATGGCAAAGGTATGTGAAGAGGGCAGAACATAGCAGTTTCTCAGGCCTTTTTCCTTTCTTTTCTTAAAAGGAAATAGAATTCTGAGTGACAGCATATGTTCTGAGTAACTCAGCAGGAACCATTACCTCATGTGGAACTGAAATATAGCCAGTTACCTGCTCCCGAGAAGCTAGCAGCTTCTATGAGCTCTTACAGGAGTTTGGAGGTTATGCAGTACATAGATGAGATACTGACTGTAAATTTACTAGTGACAATTTACTGCAGAGCAAGTCTGTTTCACCGTGCAAGGAACACAGCAGGAGAAGCATATTGGCTGTGTCCCGTCTTTATGAAAGACAGCAGTTACTGGAGCCAGCTGTGCTGGGAGATGTACCCACACATCTTTCTGCTTTATGAACTGCGCTGTCTCGTCATGTTTAGGGAGTTATAAGAAGTCTAAGAGTGCAGCAACTGCAATAGAAAATAATGAGAGAAAATTTAACTTCATCAATTGCCTGGTGTCTAGGCTATTTTCATTGCAGATAGGCAGTCAGAGTTCACATCCTTCCTGACAGAGAATTGTCCTCTCTGTCTCCTACATGGTGTGTGAAACCAGGAGGCCCTGTTGATTGCTCCAGTTATTTTTTCTTGCCATTAAAACCAGCACTTGTTTGGTGGTGGAACACAGATATTCTATAGTCCTAAATCAGGATGTGTGATTTAAAACAAATAAAGATGAGAGAACTGTCATAAAACCATGTGAAATAAGTATGTTGATAATGGTAAGAGGTAACATAAAAAAATAATTGAAGAAATAAAATTTGCAAGCTTGAACATGTTGGATATTTGTAAATTGAGCAAAATTTCAATTGGTTGTAGCAATCTTTGCTTGGTTTGATTTTGAAGATTTTTTGTACTTTCTGTGATAGACTTCATGGTCCTAACAAGATATGGTTGCACTGGTGATGAAATAAATACGTTATATAGATTTTAATTTTTTTTTAAGATGAAGACATTTAAACCAGTATGTTATGTTGATAGGGAGTTTCTTTCGCTGAAATGAAAACTTTAACAGCTACTTAAATAGCAGTCTTTCATTTAGTTAGAATAGATTTATTTATTTTCTATAGTAATAATTGCTCAGAATTTCTGTTGTACTCCTGAATTCAGTGCTCATACCATTCTTTGAAGGCCTGAGAATTTGTATTTTAGTTTAGTTTAGTTTAGTTTAGTTTTATTTATTTTATCCCAAACCAAGATGGCCTTATAGAATATTTTTGTACTGCCTCCCAACATTGTAGCATCACAGAACACCACCTATTACAGAAACAAACAGAAGGAAAGACCTGTGTGGATTTTTTATGCCACTTAAAAAACCATAAACATGCTCCTAAGGTTGTTTTAGGTTATTTCTTTATTTTCATTGGTCCCTTTGTCAGCTGAGAAATTCAATTTGAACCATTTTACTCAGTCTAAAAAGGACAAAATAGATCAGGATCACAGAATAATTTAAATGGTTTGGAAGGGACTTCTGGAGGTCAGCTGTTCCAACCATCTGCTCAAAGTAGAGCTAACTCTGAAGTTAAATCAAGTTGTTCAGTCCTATCTGTAAGGCCCTATCACAGATGTTGTTACTGTTTTCTGAATGACAGGGAGTTTGTCCTTTATGAATGGTAGTCTGCAGAGGCCACCTAAATAGACTGCAAGGTACTTTAGTATTTCCAGAAAGCACACTTGTATCTCTTAACGTTCAAAGATAGTTCTGCCATTACTATGAGAAGATGTGTTCCTCATTGTCATTTGCAAATGTGCCTCTAGGAAGCCAGTGAAAGAACACAGTGATGACATCAGAGCTGAATCTCCTGTCTTTGTATTTTTCCTCTGAATAGAATTCATCAGACCTCCATTTTGTGCAATAACTGCAACAGTGGAGGTGTTGCAAGCTATTACTGCACTGGCTTTATTATACATTAAAGAAGTGATTGCTAACTAGAAATCAGAAACTGAAAAGAGTGTTTGAGTTAAAGTCTGAGTAAGTAGATGGAAGATCCTATTTCCATATGTATGCATCATAATGTGCCACAGTTTGGTAGCGGAAAAGACTTATCTAGGCCTGTTCTTCAGGTGTTCTTTCTTAAGTCCCATTAGTTTCCGTAAGCGTGAAGCAAGAATGGAATGTAGGATCTGGACTTTGCATTAAAATAAATCTCTTTCTGAAACAATGTTTCAGTTTGAATGCTTGGGTGTGATGGCAATAATAGCTTTACTTCAGGATGTATGCTTGCAAAAATAACTCCACACTTCAAGCAGTACAAGGTGCTTAGCAAGTGCACATAATTTTGCTAGACAGTCATTACAAAAGCATATCACGGTTATATGAATACAATAGCTTCTTTCTGAAAGAAGAAAATGCCTTTCACTTGCTGCCTCTGACTTAGGCCTGGGATTAGAGAAACACAGGACATTCCTTAAAACAGCATGAATCCCACTTCTGTAAATGAAAAGAAGAACTTGCTCGTGGCCAGATATTTTGGCCATCTCAACCATATGAAATTAGAAATTATGTGCTATTTATGTCTCATAGTGGAATTAGCTTAAATCACTTTTAATTCCTTGGTGCTGGAGTCAGAGAGTACAATACATTACCAAGAATGGATGCACTCTGAACCCTCTGCTTAAAAAGATTAGCTACTTAGGATAATTAAGATCCTCAGTATCTTGTGCAGTAATCAA